CCACTCACCCACTCACTCACCCACCCACCCACTCACCCACTCACCCATCCACTCACTCACTCACCCACCAACCCACCCACTCACTCACCCACTCACCCACCCACCCACTCACCCAGCTGAGGAGTGCCTCCATGCGAGGGTCCATCATCTCCCCACTCAGTCACTCACTCAGTCAGTCACTCAGTCAATCAGTCTTTCACCCACTCACTCACCCACTCACCCACCCACTCACCCCCCCACTCACCCCCCCACTCACCCCCCCACTCACCCACCCCCTAACCCCCCCACTCACCCACCCACTCACCAACCCACCCACTCACCCACCCACCCACTCACTCACCCACCCCCCCACTCACCCACTCACTCACCCCCCCACTCACCCACTCACTCACCCCCCCACCCACCCACTCACCCACTCACCCAGCTGAGAAGTGCCTCCATGCGAGGGTCCATCATCTCCCCACCCACACACTCACCCACTAACCCACTCACTCACCCCCCCACTCACCCACTCACTCACCCACTCACCCACTCACCCACTCACCCACCCACTCACTCACCCACTCACTCACTCACTCACCCACTCACCCAGCTGAGGAGTGCCTCCATGCGAGGGTCCATCATCTCCCCACTCACCCACCCACCCACTCACTCACCCACTCACTCACTCATTCACCCACTCACTCACCCACTCACCCACCCACTCACCCAGCTGAGGAGTGCCTCCATGCGAGGGTCCATCATCTCCCCACTCACTCACTCACTCACCCACCCACCCACTCACTCACCCACTCACTCACTCACCCACTCACCCACTCACTCACTCACTCACCCACTCACCCACTCACTCACTCACCCACCCACCCACTCACTCACCCACCCACTCACTCACCCACTCACCCACTCACTCACTCACCCACTCACTCACTCACCCACCCACCCACTCACCCAGCTGAGGAGTGCCTCCATGCGAGTGTCCATCATCTCCTCACTCAGTCACTCAGTCACTCACTCAGTCACTCACTCAGTCACTCAGTCACTCACTCACTCACTCACCCACTCACCCACCCACTCACTCACCCACTCACTCACCCACTCACCCACTCACTCAATCACTCACTCAGTCACTCAGTCACTCACTCACTCACTCAGTCACTCACTCACTCACTCACCCACTCACCCACCCACTCACTCACCCACTCACTCACCCACCCAACCACTCACTCACTCACCCACTCACTCACTCACTCACCCACCCACCCACCCACTCACCCACTCACCCACTCACTCACTCACTCACCCACTCACCCACTCACCCACTCACTCACTCACCCACTCACCCAGCTGAGGAGTGCCTCCATGCGAGGGTCCATCATCTCCTCCTCCTCCCCCTTCCCCTTCCCCCTTGCCCCTCCCCCCCTTCGTCCCCTTTCCCCTGGGGGGCCCTGCGGGGTCCCCGCCGCCCCCCTTCTTGCTGTGGGGGGGCCTGGACCCCTTGGCTGTGCCCCCCAATTCATTTACACTCGCCGAGGGCAGCGTCGTCTGATCATCGCCATCATCATCATCGCCGTCATCATCACAATCATCATCACCATCATCATCACAATCATCATCACAGTCATCACAATCATCATCACAGTCATCATCATTATCACCATCACAGTCATCATCGCCATCATCATCACAATCATCATCACCATCATCACAATCATCATCATCACAGTCATCATCATCATCACAGTCATCATCACCATCATCATCACCATCATCATCACAATCATCATCAAGATCATCACCATCATCATTACAATCATCATCACCATCACAATCATCATCACAATCATCATCACCATCACCATCATCGTCACAGTCATCATCACCATCATCACAATCATCACAATCATCATCACAGCCATCATCACAATCATCACCACCATCATAATCACAGTCATCACAATCATCATCACAATCATCATCACCATCACAATCATCATCACCATCATCATCACAATCATCATCACGATCATCATCACCATCATCACAATCGTTACCACCATCATCACCACCACCCAAATCATCATCACAATCATCATCACAATCATCATCACCATCACAATCATCATCACAATCATCATCACCATCACAATCATCATCACAATCATCATCACCATCATCACCATCATCACCACGCGTGTGTGCGTATGTATGGAGGCGGAGGCGGTGGTGGTGGCAGTGGTGGTGATGGTGGTGTTGGTGGCGTTGGTAATGGTGGTGGAGGTGGAGGTGATGGTGGTGATGGTGGTGATGGTGGTGGAGGTGGTGGTAGTGGTGGTAGTGGTGGTGGTAGTGGTGGTGGTGGTAGTGGTGGTGGTGGTGGTAGTGGTGGTGGTGGTAGTGGTGGTGGTAGTGGTGGTGGTGGTAGTGGTGGAGGTGGTGGTAGTGGTGGTGGTGGAGGTGGTGGTAGTGGTGGTGGTGGAGGTGGTGGTAGTGGTGGTGGTGGTGGTGGTAGTGGTGGTGGTGGTGGAGGTGGTGGTAGTGGTGGTGGTGGAGGTGGTGGTAGTGGTGGTGGTGGTGGTAGTGGTGGTAGTGGTGGTGGTAGTGGTGGTGGTGGTAGTGGTGGAGGTGGTGGTAGTGGTGGTGGTGGTGGAGGTGGTGGTAGTGGTGGTGGTGGAGGTGGTGGTAGTGGTGGTGGTGGTAGTGGTGGTAGTGGTGGTGGTAGTGGTGGTGGTGGTAGTGGTGGAGGTGGTGGTAGTGGTGGTGGTGGAGGTGGTGGTAGTGGTGGTGGTGATGAGTAGGTGGTGGTGATTGGTTGGTGCAGGTGGTGGTAGTGGTGGTGGTGGTAGTGGTGGTGGTAGTGGTGGTGGTGGAGGTCATGGTAGTGGTGGTGGTGGTGGAGGTGGTGGTAGTGGTGGTATTGGTGGTGGTAGTGGTGGTGGTGGAGGTTGTCAAAAGAATTCCGTCGATGGAAGCCACGGGCAGACGTGAACGGACAAAGCGAGACAGAGAAATAAAGACGGTGAGTTAAAATAAACATGGACCCAGACGCGCACGGGACAAATCATAGCCGATAAATCATAGACAAATCATAGACAAATCATAGCGGATAAATCATAGACAAATCATAGACAAATCATAGTGGATAAATCATAGACAAATCATAGCGGATAAATCATAGACAAATCATAGACAAATCATAGCGGATAAATCAGACAAATCATAGACAAATCATAGCAGATAAATCATAGACAAATCATAGACAAATCATAATGGATAAATCATAGACAAATCATAGCGGATAAATCATAGACAAATCATAGCGGATAAATCATAGACAAATCATAGACAAATCATAGTGGATAAATCATAGACAAATCATAGACAAATCATAGACAAATCATAGTGGATAAAGCATAGACAAATCATAGCGGATAAATCATAGACAAATCATAGACAAATCATAGCGGATAAATCATAGACAAATCATAGACAAATCATAGTGGATAAATCATAGACAAATCATAACGGATAAATCATAGACAAATCATAGACAAATCATAGTAGATAAATCATAGACAAATCATAGACAAATCATAGACAAATCATAATGGATAAATCATAGACAAATCATAGCGGATAAATCATAGACAAATCATAGCGGATAAATCATAGACAAATCATAGCGGATAAATCATAGACAAATCATAGACAAATCATAGCGGATAAATCATAGACAAATCATAGACAAATAGTGGATAAAATATAGACAAATCATAGACAAATCATAGTGGATAAATCATAGACAAAGCATAGACAAATCATAGACAAAAAGTGGATAAATCATAGACAAATCATAGACAAATCATCGTGGATAAATCATACACGAATAGTGGATAAATCATTGAAAAATCATGGACAAATCATAGGCAAATCATCTATGAGCTGCAGACTCACATGGGATGAATCAAAGACAAATCTTAGCCACGTCACGGAGTGAATCAGAGAGCTCACAACTATGTCATGGATGATATGATATAATGCGTTACCCCTGCCTCTACCACTATCACTGTCTTTAACACTATCAATGTCTCTACACCTATCACCATCACTGTCTCTATTACTATCACTGTCACTGTCTTTATTACTACCACTATCACTGTCACTATCACCATCACTGTCACTATCACTGTCACTATCACTGTCACTATCACTGTCTTTATTACTATCACTGTCACTACCACTATCACCATCACTGTCACTATCACTGTCTTCATTACTACCACTATCACTACCACTGTCACTGTCACCATCACCATCACTGTCACTATCACTGTCTTTATTACTATCACTGTCTTTATTACTATCACCATCACTGTCACTATCACTACCACTATCACCATCACTGTCTTTATTACTATCACTTCCACTATCACCATCACTATCACTGTCTTTATTACTATCACTGTCACTATCACTGTCTTTATTACTCTCACTGTCACTACTGCTATCACCATCACTATCACTGTCACTGTCTTTATCACCGTCACTATCACTGTCACTGTCTTTATCACCGTCACTATCACTATCACTGTCTTTATTACTATCACTGTCACTATCACCATCACTGTCACTGTCACTATCACTGTCTTTATTACTATCACTGTCACTACCACTATCACCATCACTGTCACTATCACTATCTTTATTACTATCACCGTCACTACTGCTATCACTGTCACTGTCACTATCACCATCACTGTCACCACCGCTATCACCATCACTGTCACTACCACTACCACTGTCTCTATTACTATCACTGTCACTACCGCTATCACCATCACTGTCACTACCACTATCACTGTCTCTATTACTATCACTGTCTCTACCACTATCACTGTCTCTATTACTATCACTGTCTCTATTACTATCACTACCACTACCACTGTCACTGTCACTATCACCATCACTGTCACTATCACTGGACTCACTCTCGAGGCACTCACCGGCCAGTGCTGACCATAAACGAAGATCTGGCTTCGAGCGATGTCCACGCGGTTCCACGCCAGAGCCAGGCTCAGCTGATCCGGAGCGGAGGCATTGGTACCTGCAGACACGGAGGACCACCGTGAACCCCACTGGTAGAGAGAGACACGGACACCGTGAACCCCACCCACCCACATGGACACCGTGAACCCCACTGGTAGAGAGAGACACGGACACCGTGAACCCCACCCACACGGACACCGTGAACCCCACTGGTAGAGAGAGACACGGACACCGTGAACCCCACACACCCACACGGACATCGTGAATCCCACCCACCCACACGGACACCGTGAACCCCACCCACACGGACACCGTGAACCCCACCCACCCACAAGGACATCGTGAACCCCACCCACCCACACGGACACTGTGAACCCCACCCACCCACACGGTCACCGTGAACCCCACCCACCCACCCACACGGCCACCGTGAACCCCACCCACCCACCCACACGGTCACCGTGAACCCCACCCACCCACACGGTCATCGTGAACCCCACCCACCCACACGGTCACCGTGAACCCCACCCACCCACACGGTCACCGTGAACCCCACCCACCCACACGGTCATAGTGAACCCCACCCACCCACACGGTCATCGTGAACCCCACCCACCCACACGGTCACCGTGAACCCCACCCACCCACACGGTCATCGTGAACCCCACCCACCCACACGGTCACCGTGAACCCCACCCACCCACACGGTCACCGTGAACCCCACCCACCCACACGGCCACCGTGAACCCCACCCACCCACACGGTCATCGTGAACCCCACCCACCCACACGGCCACCGTGAACCCCACCCACCCACACGGACACCGTGAACCCCACCCACCCACACGGCCACCGTGAACCCCACCCACCCACACGGACATCGTGAACCCCACCCACCCACCCACACATCCAGCGTGTACCTTTGAGGAGGGCGGTGAGGATGGCCAGGTCGATGTCCTGGTGACCCTCCGACCCCATGCGGAACACCGTGATCTGCCGGGCGACACGGACAAAGGCGCAGCCCTGAAACTGCCCGCTCCGCGGCACCACTCTAGAAGCCGATAGAGGCTGCCCAATACCCCGGGGAACCTCTAGCAGGGCTCGAAGGGGCAAGTGGCGAGTAGCCTCTCACTCACTCACTCCACCAAACCACTCACCCACACGCTCACCCACCAACTCACCCACCCACTCACCCACCCACTCACTCACCCACTCACTCACCCACTCACTCACCCACCCACCAACCCGCTCACCCACCCGTTCACCCACTCTCTCAACCACCCACTCACCCACTCAGTCACCCACTCACCCACTCACCCACCCACCAACTCACCAACCCACTCACCCACCCACTCACCCAACCACTCACCCACCAACTCACCTAACCACTCACCCAACCACCCACCAACTCACCCACCAACTCACCCAACCACTCACCCACTCACCCACCAACCCGCTCACCCACCCGCCCACCCACTCTCTCAACCACCCACCCACTCACCCACTCACTCACTCACTCACCCACTCACTCACCCACTCACTCACCCACTCACCCACTCACCCACCCACCCACTCACCCACTCACTCACCCACCCACCCACTCACCCACCCACCCACTCACCCACTCACCCACTCACTCACCCACTCACTCACCCACTCACTCACCCACCCACCCACCCACTCACTCACTCACTCACCCACTCACCACCCACTCACCCACCCACTCACTCACCCACTCACTCACTCACCCACTCACTCACCCGCTCACTCACTCACCCACTCACTCACCCACCCACTCACTCACTCACTCACCCTCTCACTCACTCACCCACCCACCCACCCACTCACCCACTCAATCACTCACCCACTCACCCACCCACTCCCTCACCCACCCACTCACCCACCCACTCACCCACCCACTCACCCACCCACTCACCCACTCACTCACTCACCCACTCACCCACCCACACACTCACTCACCCACTCACTCACTCACTCACCCACTCACTCACTCACCCACTCACCCACTCACTCACCCACCCACCCACCCACTCACCCACTCACTCACTCACCCACTCACTCACCCACTCACTCACTCACCCACTCACTCACTCACTCACCCACTCACCCACCCACCCACCCACTCACTCACTCACCCACTCACTCACTCACCCACTCACTCACTCACCCACTCACTCACTCACCCACTCACTCACTCACCCACCCACCCACCCACTCACCCACTCACTCACCCACTCACCCACTCACTCACTCACCCATTCACTCACCCACTCACTCACCCACCCACCCACTCACCCACCAACTCACTCACTCACTCACCCACTCACTCACCCACCCACCCACTCACCCACCCACTCACCCACTCACTCACTCACTCACCCACTCACCCACTCACTCACCCACTCACTCACCAACTCACCCACTCACCCACTCACTCACCCACTCACTCACCCACTCACTCACTCACCCACTCACTCACCCACTCACTCACTCACCCACTCACCCACTCACTCACCCACCCACCCACTCACCCACCCACTCACCCACTCACTCACTCACCCACTCACTCACCCACTCACTCACCCACCCACCCACCCACTCACCCACTCACTCACCCACCCACTCACCCACTCACCCACTCACTCACCCACTCACTCACCCACTCACTCACCCACCCACCCACCCACTCACTCACTCACCCACTCACCACCCACTCACCCACCCACTCACTCACCCACTCACTCACTCACCCACTCACTCACCCGCTCACTCACTCACCCACTCACTCACCCACCCACTCACTCACTCACTCACCCTCTCACTCACTCACCCACCCACCCACCCACTCACCCACTCAATCACTCACCCACTCACCCACCCACTCCCTCACCCACCCACTCACCCACCCACTCACCCACCCACTCACCCACCCACTCACCCACTCACTCACTCACCCACTCACCCACCCACACACTCACTCACCCACTCACTCACTCACTCACCCACTCACTCACTCACCCACTCACCCACTCACTCACCCACCCACCCACCCACTCACCCACTCACTCACTCACCCACTCACTCACCCACTCACTCACTCACCCACTCACTCACTCACTCACCCACTCACCCACCCACCCACCCACTCACTCACTCACCCACTCACTCACTCACCCACTCACTCACTCACCCACTCACTCACCCACTCACTCACTCACCCACTCACTCACTCACTCACCCACTCACCCACCCACCCACCCACTCACTCACTCACCCACTCACTCACTCACCCACTCACTCACTCACCCACTCACTCACTCACCCACCCACCCACCCACTCACCCACTCACTCACCCACTCACCCACTCACTCACTCACCCATTCACTCACCCACTCACTCACCCACTCACCCACTCACCCACCAACTCACTCACTCACTCACCCACTCACTCACCCACCCACCCACTCACCCACCCACTCACCCACTCACTCACTCACTCACCCACTCACCCACTCACTCACCCACTCACTCACCCACCCACCCACTCACCCACTCACTCACCCACTCACTCACCCACTCACTCACTCACCCACTCACTCACCCACTCACTCACTCACCCACTCACCCACTCACTCACCCACCCACCCACTCACCCACCCACTCACCCACTCACTCACTCACCCACTCACTCACCCACTCACTCACCCACCCACCCACCCACTCACCCACTCACTCACCCACTCACTCACCCACTCACTCACCCACCCACTCACTCACTCACCCACCCACTCACTCACCCACTCACCCCCCCACCCACTCACCCACCCACCCACTCACTCACCCACTCACCCCCCCACCCACCCACTCACTCACCCACTCACCCACCCACCCACCCACTCACCCACTCACCCACCAACTCACCCACCCACCACCCCACCCACTCACTCACCCACCCACCCACTCACCCACCCACCCACTCACCCACCCACCCACTCACCCACTCACTCACTCACCCCCCCACCAACCCACCCACCCACTCACTCACTCACCCACCCACCCACTCACTCACTCACCCACCCACCCACTCACTCACCCACTCACCCACCCACCAACCCACCCACCCACTCACCCACCCACCCACCCACTCACCCCCCCACCAACCCACCCACCCACCAGCTCCTTCTTCTTCATGCACTCCATGAGGGATATGAACAGGTGCTGCGCTTGCTTGCGGCTGTAGTTGAACGTCTTCTGGATGGTGACCAGCAGCTGGTCCCTCAGTGATTCGTTAATCACCCGGGGGGGGGCGGGGCATGGGGCGAGCAGGGGCGGGGCATGCGGGGAGGGGGTGGGGCAGAGGGAGGGGGGGGGGTTGACCAATTGGGTGTGAGTAAGAAAGTGGATTAGTGGGTGGGATGCGTGAGTGGGTGGGTGGGAGACCGGGTAGATTAGTGGGTGGGTGAGTGGGTGGGTGGGTGAGTGGGTGGGTGGGTGAGTGGGTGGGTGGGTGGAAGACCGAGTTGGTTAGTGGGTGGGTTGCGTGAGTGGGCGGGTGAGAGACCGAGTGGATTAGTGGGTGGGTGAGTGGGTGGGAGACCGAGTGGATTAGTGGGTGGGTGAGTGGGTGGGTGGGAGACCGAGTGAATTAGTGGGTGGGTGGGTGGGTGGAAGACCGAGTGGATTAGTGGTTGGGTTGCTGGGTGGGTGAGTGGGTGGGAGTCCGAGTGGATTAGTGGGTGGGTGGGAGTCCGAGTGGATTAGTGGGTGGGTGGGAGTCCGAGTGGATTAGTGGGTAGGTGGGTGAGTGGGTGGGAGTCCGAGTGGATTAGTGGGTGGGTGAGTGGAAGGGTGAGAGACCGAGTGGATTAGTGGGTGGGTGGGAGTCCGAGTGGATTAGTGGGTGGGTGGGTGAGTGGGTGGGAGTCCGAGTGGATTAGTGGGTGGGTGGGTGTGTGATTGAATGAACGGGTGAGTGAGTGACTAAGTCACTAGGCAAGTGACTAGCCGACTAGGTGAGTGACTAGACGACTAGGTGAGTGACTAGGCGAGTGACTAGGCGAGTGACTAGGCCCGTGACTAGGCCAGTGACTAGGCCAGTGACTAGGCCCGTGACTAGGAGAGTGACTAGGCAAGTGATTAGGCGAGTGACTAGGCGAGTGGCTAGGCCAGTGACTAGGCCCATGACTGGGCGAGTGACTAGGCCAGTGACTAGGCTAGTGACTAGGCGAGTGACTAAGCCCGTGACTAGGTGAGTGACTAGGCCCGTGACTAGGCGAGTGTCTAGGCCCGTGACTAGACCCGTGACTAGGCGAGTGACTATGCCCGTGACTAGGTGAGTGACTAGGCTATTGACTAGGCCCGTGACTAGGCCCGTGACTAGGCGAGTGACTAGGCCCGTGACTAGGCGAGTGACTAGGCCCGTGACTAGGCCCGTGAATAGGCCCGTGACTAGGCCCGTGACTAGGCCCGTGACTAGGCCCGTGACTAGGCCCGTGACTAGGCCCGTGACTAGGCTAGTGACTAGGCCCTTGACTTGGCCCGTGACTAGGCGAGTGACTAGGCGAGTGACTAGGCGAGTGACTAGGCCCGTGACTAGGCGAGTGACTAGGCCCATGACTACGCCCGTGACTATGCCCGTGACTAGGCCCGTGACTAGGCCCGTGACTAGGCGAGTGACCAAGCCCGTGACTAGTCCCATGACTAGGCAAGTGACTAGGTCCGTGACTGGGCCCGTGACTAGGCCCGTGACTAGGCCCGTGACTAGGCGAGTGACTAGGCGAGTGACTAGGCCCGTGACTAGTCCCGCGACTAGGCGAGTGACTAGGCGAGTGACTAGGCCCGTGACTAGTCCCGTGACTAGTCCCGCAACTAGGCAAGCGACTAGTCCCGCGACTAGGCGAGCGACTAGTCCCGCCACTAGGCGAGTGACTAGTCCCGTGACTAGGCGAGTGACTAGGCGAGTGACTAGGCCCGTGAATAGGCCCGTGACTAGTCCCGTGACTAGGCCCGCGACTAGGCGAGTGACTAGGCGAGTGACTAGGCCCGTGACTAGGCCCATGACTAGTCCCGCAACTAGGCGAGCGACTAGGCCCGTGACTAGTCCCGTGACTAGGCGAGTGACTAGTCCCGTGACTAGGCGAGTGACTAGGCCCGTGACTAGTCCCGCGACTAGTCCCGCGACTAGGCGAGTGACTAGGCGAGTGACTAGGCCCATGACTAGTCCCGTGACTAGTCCCGCGACTAGGCAAGCGACTAGTCCCGCGACTAGGCGAGTGACTAGTCCCGTGACTAGGCGAGTGACTAGGCGAGTGACTAGGCCCGTGACTAGTCCCGTGACTAGGCGAGTGACTAGGCCCGCGACTAGGCCCGTGACTAGGCCCGTGACTAGGCGAGTGACTAGGCCCGCGACTAGGCCCGTGAGTAGTCCCGCGACTAGCGAGTGACTAGTCCCGTGACTAGGCGAGTGACTAGGCCCGTGACTAGTCCCGTGGCTAGGCGAGTGACTAGGCCCGTGACTAGGCGAGTGACTAGTCTCGCGACTAGGCGAGCGACTGGTCCCCTGACTAGGCCCGTGACTAGGCCCGTGACTAGGCCCGTGACTAGTCCCGCGACTAGTCCCGCGACTAGGCGAGTGACTAGGCGAGTGACTAGTCCCGTGACTAGTCCCGTGACTAGTTCCGTGACTAGTCCCGTGACTAGGCGAGTGACTAGGCGAGTGACTAGTCCCGTGACTAGTCCCGTGACTAGTCCCGTGACTAGGCGAGTGACTAGGCGAGCAACTAGTCCCGTGACTAGGCGAGTGACTAGTCCCGTGACTAGGTCCGTGACTAGTCCCGTGACTAGTCCCGTGACTAGGCGAGCGACTAGGCCCGTGACTAGTCCCGTGACTAGGTTAGTGACTAGTCCCGCGACTAGGCCCGTGACTACGCCGGTGACTAGGCCCGTGACTAGGCGAGTGACTAGTTCCGTGACTAGGCCCGCGACTAGGCCCGTGACTAGTCCCGCGACTAGGCGAGTGACTAGGCGAGTGACTAGGCCCGTGACTAGTCCCGCGACTAGGCGAGCGACTAGGCGAGTGACTAGTCCCGCGACTAGTCCCGCGACTAGTCCCGTGACTAGGCGAGTGACTAGTCCCGTGACTAGTTCCGCGACTAGTCCCGTGACTAGGTCCGCGACTAGGCGAGTGACTAGGCCCGTGACTAGTCCCGTGACTAGGCAAGTGACTAGGCGAGTGACTAGTCCCGTGACTAGGCGAGTGACTAGGCGAGTGACTAGTCCCGCGACTAGGCGAGTGACTAGGCGAGTGACTAGTCCCGTGACTAGTCCCGTGACTAGGTCCGTGACTAGTCCCGTGACTAGGCGAGTGACTAGGCGAGTGACTAGTCCCGTGACTAGTCCCGTGACTAGGTCCGTGACTAGTCCCGTGACTAGGCGAGTGACTAGGCGAGCAACTAGTCCCGTGACTAGGCGAGTGACTAGTCCTGTGACTGGGTCCGTGACTAGTCCCGTGACTAGTCCCGTGACTAGGCGAGCGACTAGGCCCGTGACTAGTCCCGTGACTAGGTTAGTGACTAGTCCCGCGACTAGGCCCGTGACTACGCCCGTGACTAGGCCCGTGACTAGGCGAGTGACTAGTTCCGTGACTAGGCCCGCGACTAGGCCCGTGACTAGTCCCGCGACTAGGCGAGTGACTAGGCGAGTGACTAGGCCCGTGACTAGTCCCGCGACTAGGCGAGCGACTAGGCAAGTGACTAGTCCCGCGACTAGTCCCGCGACTAGTCCCGTGACTAGGCGAGTGACTAGTCCCGTGACTAGTTCCGCGACTAGTCCCGTGACTAGGTCCGCGACTAGGCGAGTGACTAGGCCCGTGACTAGTCCCGTGACTAGGCGAGTGACTAGGCGAGTGACTAGTCCCGTGACTAGGCGAGTGACTAGGCCCGTGACTAGGTCCGCGACTAGGCGAGTGACTAGTCCCGCGACTAGGCGAGCGACTAGTCCACCCACCCGCCCTCCTCCGAGTACTTGTGGGCGAAGGCGAGGATGTCCGAGGTGCGTCCGCTGCCGTCACAGACCACCACGGGGACGGGCGGAGCGTCACGGAGATATTCGAGCACGATGGAGACGACGTTGGGGCCTCCCTCCACCACCAGGCCCACCACCGGCACGCCTTGGCCGATGCCTGGGACACGGGGGACAGAGACACGGGGAGAGAGAGACACGGGGAGAGAGAGACACGGGGAGAGAGACACGGGGAGAGAGACACGGGGACGGAGACACGGGGGACAGAGACACGGGGAGAGAGACACGGGGAGAGAGACACGGGGAGAGAGACACGGGGACGGAGACATGGGGAGAGAGACACGGGGGACAGAGACGCAGGGAGAGAGACACGGGGGACAGAGACACGGGGAGAGAGACACGGGGACGGAGACACGGGGACAGAGACACGGGGAGAGAGACACAGGGACGGAGACACGGGGGACAGAGACACAGGGAGAGAGACACGGGGAGAGAGAGACACGGTGAGAGAGACACGGGGAGAGAGACACGGGGACAGAGACACGGGGAGAGAGACACGGGGAGAGAGAGACACGGGGAGAGAGAGACACGGTGAAAGAGAGACACGGGGAGAGAGACACAGGGAGAGAGAGACACGGGGAAAGAGAGAGACACGGGGAGAGAGAGACACGGTGAGAGAGAGACACGGGGAGAGAGACACGGGGATGGAGACACGGGACAGAGACACAGGGACAGAGACAGAGACACGGGACAGAGACACGGGGACGGAGACACAGGGACAGAGACAGAGACACGGGACAGAGACACGGGACAGAGACACGGGACAGAGACACGGGGGACAGAGACACAGGGACATAGACACGGGGAGAGAGACACGGGGAGAGAGACACGGGGAGAGAGACACGGGGAGAGAGAGACACAGGGAGAGAGACACGGGGAGAGAGAGACACGGGGAGAGAGAGACACGGGGAGAGAGACAGGGGGACGGAGACACGGGGAGAGAGACACGGGGAGAGAGACACGGGGAGAGAGACACGGGGAGAGAGACAGGGGGACGGAGACACGGGGAGAGAGACACGGGGAGAGAGACACGGGGAGAGAGACAGGGGGACAGAGACACGGGACAGAGACACGGGGAGAGAGAGACACGGGACAGAGACACGGGACAGAGACACGGGAGACGGAGACACGGGGAGAGAGACACGGGGACAGAGACACGGGGACGGAGACACGGGGACGGAGACCCGGGGAGAGAGACACGGGGACAGAGACACGGGACAGAGACACGGGACAGAGACACGGGAGACGGAGACACGGGGAGAGAGACACGGGGACAGAGACACGGGGACGGAGACACGGGGACGGAGACACGGGGACAGAGACACGGGGACAGAGACACGGGAGACGGAGACACGGGGAGAGAGACACGGGGAGAGAGACACGGGGAGAGACACGGGGAGAGAGACACGGGACAGAGACACGGGGACAGAGACACGGGGAGAGAGAGACACGGGGAGAGAGACACGGGGAGAGAGACACGGGGACGGAGACACGGGGACAGAGACACGGGGGACAGAGACACAGGGACAGAGACACGGGGAGAGAGACACGGGGACGGAGACACGGGGACAGAGACACGGGGGACAGAGACACAGGGACAGAGACACGGGGAGAGAGACACGGGGAGAGAGACACGGGGAGAGAGAGACATGGTGAAAGAGAGACACGGGGACAGAGACACGGGACAGAGACACGGGAGACGGAGACACGGGGAGAGAGACACGGGGACAGAGACACAGGGACAGAGACATGGGGGATAGAGACACGGGGAGAGAGACAGGGGGATGGAGACACGGGGACAGAGACACGGGGACAGTAGTAGCAGTGATAGTAGTACTAGTGATGGTACTAGTGATAGTAGTACTAGTGATAGTAGTAGTAGTAGTGATGGTACTAGTGATGGTAGTACTAGTGATGGTAGTACTAGTGATGGTACTAGTGATGGTAGTACTAGTGATGGTACTAGTGATGGTACTAGTGATAGTAGTACTGATGGTAGTACTAGCGATGGTAGTACTAGTGATAGTAGTACTAGTGATGGTAGTGATGGTACTAGTGATGGTACTAGTGATGGTAGTACTAGTGATAGTAGTACTAGTGATGGTAGTACTAGTGATAGTAGTACTAGTGATAGTAGTACTGATGGTAGTACTAGTGATGGTAGTACTAGTGATAGTAGTACTAGTGATGGTAGTGATGGTACTAGTGATGGTACTAGTGATGGTAGTACTAGTGATAGTAGTACTAGTGATGTTACTAGTGATAGTAGTACTAGTGATGGTAGTACTAGTGATAGTAGTACTAGTGATAGTAGTACTAGTGATAGTAGTACTAGTGATGTTACTAGTGATAGTAGTACTAGTGATAGTAGTACTAGTGATGGTAGTACTAGTGATAGTAGTACTAGTGATAGTAGTAGTACTAGTGATGGTAGTAGTACTAGTGATAGTAGTACTAGTGATGGTAGTACTAGTGATGGTAGTTCTAGTGATAGTAGTACTAGTGATAGTAGTAGTACTAGTGATAGTAGTACTAGTGATAGTAGTAGTACTAGTGATAGTAGTACTAGTGATGTTACTAGTGATAGTAGTACTAGTGATAGTAGTACTAGTGATAGTAGTAGTACTAGTGATAGTAGTACTAGTGATAGTAGTACTAGTGATAGTAGTAGTACTAGTGATAGTAGTACTAGTGATAGTAGTAGTACTAGTGATAGTAGTATTAGTGATAGTAGTAGTGATAGTAGTACTAGTGATAGTAGTACTAGTGATAGTAGTAGTACTAGTGATAGTAGTACTAGTGATAGTAGTACTAGTGATAGTAGTAGTACTAGTGATAGTAGTACTAGTGATGGTAGTACTAGTGATAGTAGTACTAGTGATAGTATTAGTACTAGTGATAGTAGTACTAGTGATAGTAGTACTAGTGATAGTAGTACTAGTGATGGTAGTACTAGTGATAGTAATACTAGTGATGTTACTAGTGATAGTAGTACTAGTGATGGTAGTACTAGTGATAGTAGTACTAGTGATGGTAGTGATGGTACTAGTGATGGTATTGGTACTCACGAGTGTTAATCTTCTGCAGATAGTAGTGATAGTAGTAGTGATAGTAGTAGTAGTACTAGTGATAGTAGTACTAGTGATAGTAGTACTAGTGATAGTAGTAGTACTAGTGATAGTAGTACTAGTGATAGTAGTACTAGTGATAGTAGTACTAGTGATGGTAGTAGTGATAGTACTAGTGATGTTAGTAGTACTAGTGATAGTAGTAGTGATAGTAGTAGTACTAGTGATAGTAGTACTAGTGATAGTAGTAGTACTAGTGATGGTAGTTCTAGTGATAGTAGTACTAGTGATAGTAGTAGTACTAGTGATAGTAGTACTAGTGATAGTAGTAGTACTAGTGATAGTAGTACTAGTGATGTTACTAGTGATAGTAGTACTAGTGATAGTAGTACTAGTGATAGTAGTAGTACTAGTGATAGTAGTAGTACTAGTGATAGTAGTACTAGTGATAGTAGTACTAGTGATAGTAGTACTAGTGATAGTAGTAGTACTAGTGATAGTAGTACTAGTGATAGTAGTAGTACTAGTGATAGTAGTAGTAGTGATAGTAGTACTAGTGATAGTAGTAGTACTAGTGATAGTAGTACTAGTGATAGTAGTACTAGTGATAGTAGTAGTACTAGTGATAGTAGTACTAGTGATAGTAGTACTAGTGATAGTAGTAGTACTAGTGATAGTAGTAGTAGTGATAGTAGTACTAGTGATAGTAATAGTACTAGTGATAGTAGTATTAGTGATGTTAGTAGTATTAGTGATGTTACTAGTGATGGTAGTACTAGTGATAGTAGTACTAGTGATAGTAGTACTAGTGATGTTAGTAGTACTAGTGATAGTAGTACTAGTGATAGTAGTACTAGTGATAGTAGTACTAGTGATAGTAGTACTAGTGATAGTAGTACTAGTGATAGTAGTACTAGTGATAGTAGTACTAGTGATAGTAGTACTAGTGATAGTAGTACTAGTGATAGTAGTAGTGATAGTACTAGTGATGGTAGTAGTGATAGTAATAGTACTAGTGATGGTAGTACTAGTGATGGTAGTAGTACTAGTGATAGTAGTACTAGTGATAGTAGTGCTAGTGATAGTAGTAGTACTAGTGATAGTAGTACTAGTGATAGTAGTACTAGTGATAGTAGTACTAGTGATAGTAGTAGTACTAGTGATAGTAGTACTAGTGATAGTAGTACTAGTGATAGTAGTACTAGTGATAGTAGTACTAGTGATAGTACTAGTGATGGTAGTAGTACTAGTGATAGTAGTACTAGTGATAGTAGTACTAGTGATAGTAGTACTAGTGATAGTAGTACTAGTGATAGTAGTAGTACTAGTGATAGTAGTACTAGTGATAGTAGTACTAGTGATAGTAGTACTAGTGATAGTAGTACTAGTGATAGTACTAGTGATGATAGTAGTACTAGTGATAACACTCACGAGTGTTAATCTTCTGCAGCGACACGTGCTTCTCCAGCTGGTACTAGTACTAGTGATAGTAGTACTAGTGATGGTAGTAGTGATAGTAGTACTAGTGATAGTAGTACTAGTGATGGTAGTAGTGATAGTAGTACTAGTGATAGTAGTACTAGTGATGGTAGTACTAGTGATAGTAGTACTAGTGATAGTAGTACTAGTGATGGTAGTACTAGTGATAGTAGTACTAGTGATAGTAGTAGTGATAGTAGTACTAGTGATAGTAGTACTAGTGATGGTAGTACTAGTGATAGTAGTACTAGTGATAGTAGTAGTGATAGTAGTACTAGTGATAGTAGTGATACTAGTGATAGTAGTAGTGATAGTGATAGTAGTAGTACTAGTGATAGTAGTACTAGTGATAGTAGTACTAGTGATAGTAGTACTAGTGATAGTAGTACTAGTGATGATAGTACTAGTGATAGTAGTAGTACTAGTGATAGTAGTAGTGATAGTAGTACTAGTGATGATAGTAGTGGTACTAGTGATAGTAGTACTAGTGATAGTAGTAGTACTAGTGATAGTAGTACTAGTGATAGTAGTACTAGTGACAGTAGTAGTACTA